GCCGGGTCCCGGTGCCCGCCCGCCATGCGTCCTGCGGGCCCGAGCGCCTCGGTATTGCTCCGTGTCCTTGGCGGTCTGCACCTGCTGCTGCTGCTGTGGCCACCAGCCACCAGGGGAGGGCGTGATGTGAGGATGGGTCCAGGTTGGTTGAGCCCTTAGGCTGTGTGTTTGTGTGGCGGGGGGCGGGTAGGTGGAGGGGAATAGGTCGGTGTCCGTGACCACGCAGAGGGCCTGGGGACCTGGGAGGTGAGGAAAGTGGACGTGGGTCGTTGTTCCCCTAATCCTCTACCTTTAAGGCTCAGGGCTCCGACTTCCTTGGGGCCGGAAGAGGAGCTCCACCGCCAGCCAGCTTTTGGGAGACCTCGCTGTGCTGGACCCCAGCTGGCATGGCTTCAGGGGTGGGCGCGGAGGGCTAAGGAAGCCTGGGCTGAGTTTGCCTAGCAGCCAGACCGGGAAAGGCAAAAGGGAGGGCTCCCAGAGAGTGAATTCCCCCCAACAAGCTTGTCTAAAAGGGTGGGAGGACGAATAGCTGACCGCTCCCGCCTCTCAGCACAGAGTCCTGTCAGGTGCCACACATGGCGCTACCCACTTTCCTGTCATTTCCTTCAGGTACAGTGTAACAAGGGGGTCTCTGTCTTAGGTGTGCCTAGCAAAGGCATGGACGTGGACACTGGATAAATTCTAAGCCACTTTTGTTTCAATAACGAAGAGGTGGGATTTATTTACTCCAGGCTTATTTTAGTCTTCTGTTATTTGGCAAGACAAGAAGCCTAGCATATTCTCCATGTTTGTCAGTTGAGCACTGGGTGGAAATAGTATATGTGTATCAAAAGCCCTTGCTGCTTCCTTTATTCTTAGACTTGGGGAAACAATATTGCTATGCATGCATTAAAAAAAGGTATTTCCTTCAGTTCCCCTTTTTCCTGCCTAGGTCATTGCATTCCTTCCTCAGAGGTACCTAATGCGGACCCAGACCTGAGAGGTCTTTCAGATTTCCCTGTGAATAGCACAGTTACATACAGATGTAATGAAGGCTTTGTAAAAGTTCCTGGCCAGACAGACTGAGTGATCTGTCTTGAGAATGATGAATGGTCACAGAATTCAGAATTCTGTAATCATAAGTTCTTCATTTCTTTTTAGAAAATTGATGGGATTAGAATGTATCTTAACTTTTTTTTTATCGCTTTGGAGTGATTGGTAATTGATAGTTTTATAGCATTATTAAACCCCAGGAGATACCATGTGGGCCCATCACACTCTAGCTAATTGAAGGCATTCCTTTCCTGAGAAGGTCCTACTTCTTCGTTAAGAGTTTTTCTCCCTAACAGTTTATCCGCTGAATAGGCTAACAGAGAAAATAAACAAAAAGTGCTGCTTAGAGAGTAAATTGTTTATGGACATATTTGGCAAGTACCTTGAGACATAACATAGGTGATTGGTTTTCTTAAATTGCATTTTGTAATGTGGGACTTACCAATTCCAACTCTATCATGGCATTTTTAAAAGCTGTTAATATTTACTTCAGAATCTACTAGAATGATTGCACAATTTACAAGGTACCTTTGCTATTTTGACACATACATACAATGTGTAATGATCAAATCAGAGTGATCAGAATATCTGTCACCTAAAACATTTATCATTTCTTTGTGTTGAGAACATCCCACATCTTCTGATTGCTGTGAAATATATATATGAATTTTAAAAAATGAACAAGAGGCCCAGTGAAGAGTTGTTTTAGAGTCAACATAGTAAAGATGTTGAATACTCAGATAGCCAATAGAAATGAAAGCAATGACGATTTCTTGCTTTTGAGTAAATATACATTGCATCATCCACAACTCATGGGTCCTTTTGTTCCGTAAAATATACTGTTAGCATTATCTTGGAGGAAAAATCTATTATATACATAGTTCTATATTGGCTTTGAGATATACAAGTAAAGATATAGGTAACACTTGAAAAAAAAAGAGATAAGATTTGATACCTGCCTTTGAATAGCTCTGAAGCGACAGTAAATACAGAAACTGCCAAAAATACTTTTTGAAACCATGTGTGAAATGGGCTTTAAATTTTCTCTTTTATGTATGCATGATAGAGACAGTGTGATGAAGTACATAAGTCTTTACACATGTATCATGTTTTAGAGTTTGTAACTTTTCCACAGGTTACTTTATCTAATCCTCCAAACCACCTCATGAGGTTAGTAGGGATTCTTATCCCCATTTTACAGTTGAGGAAGCAGGTCCCCAGAAGGTAGATAATGTCCTCAAGATCTGGAACTCTTCTGTCAAAGAACTGAGGCTCAAACTTGGGCCTTTTGACTACAAATCCAGTGCCCCTTCCACTCTCCCATGCCTTTCTATATCCACATTTGCCTGGCTGTTTACAGTATGTAAACACTTTGTACACACAGTTGGCTCATCTGATCCTCGTCCCCATGGCTTCTTGTAGGGACTAAATGAGTTTATGGGCAAAACAATTAAATATATCCTTTAAAACTAGGTATTGTTATTACTCTGAATTGCTGTTTTGCTTGTCATTAGTCCAGGAGTCTGGGAATATCCATTCTCATCTATCCTTGTACCTTACTTATGGTGCTCTGTAATTTCTTAGGGCAAGTAAGGGAACCAACATTTATAGAATGTGCCAGGCAAATAAATGGGTTACATTTTTTGAAAAGTGGGTATAACAACATCTGTTTACCAAATATTCTTCGCAGACCTCTAGTAACTAGGAAATAAAACATACATGTGAATACATTTGATACATTGCAAACGCCATAGTGATATAAATATAGTTAAATACCAAATATGTGCACAGAAGTAAAGAAAAGGGGTTGATTTAAGGTCCCCATCATTCCAGACTGTTAAATGTAGGGAATAAAATAAAAAATGATGCTAATTTTTTTGTTGTTGCTTTTTAAAATACTTTTAGCTTGGTGTGGTGCTCCACCTGAACTAGATTTTGCAGTGCTCCAAGAGCGTTTTAGGAACAGGAATCGGTTTATGTTCCGCGACGTTGTCGAATATGACTGCCGTCCAGGCTACAGATTTGTAGGTGAACAAAAACGAATAGTTTGCCTTCCAGCGGTGGGATGGGCCCGACCATCTCGGTTTTGTACAAGTGAGTATGATTTTTAAAAGTATTCCCTGTGTTGGAAACTTGGCCCCCTGCTTCTCAAAGAAAGTATTCTCAATCATTTGGTATTTCGGGGAAAGAGTGTGTCTTCCTTTGTTCATGCAAGAACTGTATGTGTATATATTATTATTCAGCATTATTTTTCAAAGAACCATGATAATTTATTTTAAATTAGACAAACTATGTGGTAGGAATTCTTATTCATTCACAAATTTCACATGTATTAACTGGAGGTTACTCAAAATAAATATATATATGTTGCTTTTTTTTTTAATGGTACAAAAGTGGAAATAAGGAAATCTAAGCATAGAAGTGTCAGTGTTTCAGATTATGAATTTGCGTATGTGTCTGATAACTTTTTCAAAACTTTTTGCCAGCTTTATTGAGTTATAATTGAAAAATAAAATTATATTATTTACGGTGTACATGACTTTTTATGTATGTATGCATTGTGAAATGATTACCATAATCAAGCTAATTAACATATCTATTATCTCACATATTGAGCTTTTTGTATGTGTGCCTGATAATTTAATGAAAAAAAAATTTTATTCTTTTCTAGAAATGTCATGTCCTAATCCTGCACCATTAATAAATGGTGATATCCAGATACCAGCTAACAGATTATTTGGTGAAGTCATGGTCTTCTCATGTCATGCTGGGTATGTTTTGGCATACTGAAACTCTATATGCAAAGAAATGAGAAAACAAATTAGGGCTTAAGACGAAGATTGTTACTTTCATGGCTGGTATTCACTAGCTGGTAGCAATGAAAACAACCCCTCTCTTCAAAGATCCATTGTCATGAACTCATCACAGTTAAATTTAGTGAAATGGAGCAAGAAAGATTTCTCAGACCACCAAATTCTCTAAATAGTTAATTTTCAGTACATATATGATTCAATATAAAATTTTACAGGAGAAGACAGAAATTTGAGATGTTGATGATATTTGGCCAAATAATCCTTCAAGTGT